TGAGTTATGACAAATTGAATGATATTCTTGTAGCGGACAAAAAGTTGTAGTTGGAACAAGAAATAATCTGCAGACAAACAGTAATGCCACAAATTAAAGAAAGATCACCGAAAGCTCTGCTCTTGGCTCAACTCCACTCGGTACTACCGAGTTCCTGCTCTGTCTAGCCGTGCATACTGAGGTGAAGACAATATATCCCGGGGAGTGTTGGCTGGGCAAAACCCACCACCCCTCCCCTTGGGCAGTGGCCAAAGGCACGCCGCCTAGACACGGCAACTTAGATTGACAAATAGCTTTTTTGACATGGAGTTGGGGACTTAGTCTCTGGTGAGTGCATCCATACTGTAAAGAATTGCTTATACCCCCTCCCCCCCCATTCATAATTTAGTGGCAAGTATTCTCAAAGTTGGATGTAAAAGTTTGACACTCAATGCATGCCTCTCATTAACTTGAATGATTATCAGAATGCATGATTCAAATAAATTAGAATATTTTCATATGCATTATTGAATATATTTATTCACTATAAAGTAATATTTTTGGGCTTCTCTTTGCAATAGTAGCATTAATAGTGGCATGTAATATTAGGTTTGCATTTATGTAAGATTTAGGTAAGTGTTGCTCATAGTATGTGCAATTGTAACAAGGTTGTGACTCGTAAAGACAATATTTAGGAGATTTGTTAAATGGAGGCATGTAGTATGAAGTGCTTGTAATAGCTTTATTTGTATGCTTATTTATATTTGCATCAGGTTTCATATTCAGAGAACACTCATTGTTGACAAGATGGCATGTGCGTACATGCTATACCACCTGATTGTTTTATACATAGATGATTCCACAAGTGCTTAGTTACCAAAATCAAATAAGACTTGCCTTATCTTAGTTTCCAAAAATGTTCTTTATTTTATATTCCTGTTGGTATTGTTGGCTTAATAATAAAGTCAGTGATAATTAACACTTGACTTCAGATTTTTTCTAATACTATTGAATAATTGGGAAGAGGAATTGTGTGGTCACTGATGTCTACTAATTGACTCTTTGAAGGCTGAGTACTTGGAGCTATTTATGTGGAAAGATTTTATAAAACAAAACTGTGGTGAACATTACATTCCAAGCAGCATTATTTTAGTTTAAGATAGTTACATCTGAAGAAAAGCTGGTGTCCAAATTGGGGGAAATTAGCGGTTATTACCTTTGGCAGGTTTTTTATTGATTTGAGCCTGAATAACCAAGTATTTCCTTTTCAGTCCTGTTAAGGATGTAGTTGAAAAAGCACCAGTTGCAGAGCTGAAGCAGGAACCAGTCTCCAAACTTCCTGAAGGAGTTGAAGATTATGACAAAGAAATGGAAAATGACCCATTTGCTGTATCACTTTATGCTCAAGAAATTTTTGAGTACTACAAAGCGAGAGAGGTTAGTATTTTATGAAGTTAAACGGAAAACCAATTTAAAGTCTGTTGACTTAAACTTGAAGCTTAGAAAAACAATTAAATACCCCTCCTGAATTTGGCTAAAAGCACTGTTTACTTTTCCAGAATAACTTCGTAATTGACAAGTATATTGACCGTCAGCCAGATGTTTCCCGGAGCATGAGAGCCATCCTAATTGACTGGATGGTTGAAGTTCAGGTGAGTGTAAATGTGATTACCAAAAGTACTATTCATAATTTTTAAATTTAATGTGTTTTTCTGGTTTCATGGTATTAGAGAATTATCAAGATTATATTGCCATCATTAACTTCAGAAAGATTTTCTTCAGTAGAAATTTTTCACATTAACATAGTTTTGATTTCAGGAATCTTTTGAGCTGAATCATGAGACACTGTACCTGGCTGTGAAAATCATTGATTTGTATTTGGCCAAAACGGTCATAAAACGCGACGTACTACAACTTGTTGGATCCACAGCAATGTTCATTGCATGCAAATTTGATGTGAGTATCTCAGACTTTTCGATAATCTGGTGCATATTGATTCTGAAAGAGAGGTTTGGTAAACTTTGGATTGAATTAATATCTTGCAATATTATTTTTTCATAGGAGAGGACCCCACCATATGTTGACGACTTCCTCTACATCTGTGATGATGCATACAAAAGGAAAGAACTAATTGAGATGGAAATAAAGATCCTGAAGGTCATTGGTTTTGACCTTGGTATTCCACTTTCCTACAGATTTCTTAGGAGATATGCAAGAGTGAGTAATCTTTTAGGTCTTTTTAGCCCGATGCTGCTGGGGATGGCATGTAGTCTACATGCATGCCATCCCCAAACCGAGTTTAGTTTTTTTACACAGATGGCTCCACAAGCTACCAATGAGTATTATTTTATAATGGGTTTTTGTATTATAAGAATAATAATTATAATGTCAATAAGAATAACTGCATCAATATTAATAGCAATAAGGAAAACTTCCCCAAAACTCAAGGAAAGGAGAAACCTGGTGAGGTCACACAGACTACTAATTGCCTCCTTGGTGGCTGAACACTTGTGGAGCTGTGTAGATAAGTTTCACAAAACAATACTACAGTGAACATAACATTTTGCTGATGGCCTTGTGTTAATTGTAAATATTCACTGCAGTGTAATAAACATTATCATTTTTATAGTGTTTGCAAATGTAGTATGTCCTATTCAAAATTAAGTAAAATATAATACAATTTGTCACCTGCAGTGTGCCAAGGTAAGCATGGAAGATCTGACACTCACCCGCTACATTCTGGAGATGAGTCTAATGGATTACGAACTCCTGGATGCATCTGACTCAGCCTTGGCAGCTGCTGCCCTCCTCCTCACTAGAATCATAAGAGGAAATGGCACATGGACTCCCACACTGCAGTACTATTCTGGTGAGTAACAAAGACTTAGAAATCCTATATGTATTGTAGGATATAAGTTCTGCATTTGTGAACTGGCATGTGATTCAAAGCTCGAGTAAATTAAGACCAGTTGTGTATATGTATATAAATATATAATTTGTATTTGGATTAATGCTGAAAGAGTAACAGGGAAATCTTACATTTGATGATTTGGGCATGCAAGATTATCACTGGTTTGTTTTAATAACTTAAATTTTTTTTCAGGTTACAATATGGAAGATATCTACCATTTGGTTCATCACTTGCACCAAATGATCAGCCAGCCACCAAAGGAACACCTCAAGACCATCAGGAATAAATACTCTCACAAGTTAGTATAATCGAGACAAATATAGTAGTTTGGCTAACATATTTTAGTGTTTTGTTCCCATGACTGATCTTGCCATAAAAAAGGGCAATTGTGAACAATATTAGACTATTAATATAAAAACTAACAAGGAAATGGGATAGCTATATTGCTCATCCACAAAATCTGAAGTTTTGATCAGTTAACAGTAATGAAATTGTAGTATTGCCAAGTGTGATAATTTTGAGCACAATCACATATGGATAAGTACTGATAGACCTCTAATTAAATTTTACTTTTTTCCAGGGTATTCTTCGAGGTGGCGAAGGTCCCGATTCCTGAGACGTTAAACATTTAGCAATAGTGTCCATGCAAGGCTGAATGTGATTTTTTTGTACAAATTTACTTCTGTCAGATCCGCCACGTAAACTTCTTGCAAGACAACCTCTTACTATTAGAGTGCTGAGATATAGTCGTGGCAACCATTTCATCTTTTATCTTGCTTGCATGCTGTGAAGAAAGATTTTATTGTAAGATATTAGATTTTAAGTTATTTTATACTTCATTTCATGTACCAATTATTGGTATTTTCTGTCTTTTATTGCAAGTGCTTGCACCTGTGAACAAGTTAAACAATGTAAATAGATATTTTCTAAGTGAATGAATGAGTGTAGTCTTACCATTAATACATGGCTTTGTTTAGCTGTTAAAAGTTGTTCTGAGTAAGATTTAATATGGTACAAAAAGTTGTCAAGTGTTCATTAGATATGTGGAGTAAATCTATTAAACAAAGTAAGCACTAATTGTAGTTTTAATCTACATACTTCCAGTGATACATGTAAAGCCTAGTTTGTTAATTTTAGTGGAAAATAAAGTTTGTTACACATGTATTTACAAAAGGTAGCTTGATCCAGTCAGGGAAAATGTGTTGACACCTTTATTTTGTACTAAAGTTGAAAGTTGTAAAAAATGGCATATAAAGTTTCTACATACTTCTTTCTTTGATGTATATCCAATTAGCTTTAAAAAAATGCAACTATGTAACAAACTTCTGAGAAAGGGGGAAACTATAGTGGGCACCTCATGAATGCAAGCACATCCAGGCTTGCTTAAAAAGAAATCAATTTTGATTAGTCTATTAGTCTATTACAATTATCTTTGTTCCATATCAGATGTCAGACCTCTCGTTTTTATTCTTGTTGCTGCTGCAGCAGTGTGCCACCTTTACAATTTAACTGGCCCTTGCTCTATGAGAATACCTTAATTATGTGAATGAATCAATGTGCCCTTTGTTACATATTAGGTTTTAAATATGAAAATTGTTCCTTTTACCTCTGCACTAGTTATGACACACCAGAGTTAATGAAATTTGACCATGGAGAGCAGGCATAGAAAGTGGACACTCCTCCAAGCACAACTTAATTTTTTTTAATTTGTATTTTGTCTTTGCTAGTCAGGCTTCAGGAAAGTACTAAACAAGTTATGGCCAGTCCCCTAATTCAGCAAGCTACTTACCTTCCCTGGTGACTGCTTGTGAATTTTCTTTCAAATTGCCCAAAAAAATGTATAAACCCCTACTGACATGACAGCATTGAGTAGGTTGCCAGCTGCCCAATATTCAATTTTTAACTGAAATAATTATCAAAAGCCATGTTTGTCCTGCTACGTATGAAAAATTGTATCTTGACTGTGATGCACAAGGATGATCTTCAGTCTAGTTATCATACTGCACTTCTTCCTTCCTGACTGACTAGATCCCATGTGCACCACCAGAATGCACTATAACAAAGCCCAACGAAGATTGTGTGGATGGGGTTTACAGTATACATATACCAGTTCCAATTCACTATTTGCTTTATTTTACATACATTTTTGGCATGACTGGGTAGTTATTTGAATGTGTTACTGGTTATTATTGTATTTGGGGTGAAATGGGTACTGACCATGAATTTGGTAAACTATAATTTACTGTAACTGGACCTTAAGAAGAATTGGATTTCCTTCCGTTTTTAAGTACTAGTACAGGATTGTTAGAAATAGTCTTAAATACATGAAGTCGATCACGTGTATTGTAATGGGTATTTATACATATAATTTATGTTATGGGTATCACAAAAGCAATGGGAATGAAATAATAATGTAAAAAAAATACCTTTTAATACTTACACATTATTTCTTTTTAAATTCCCAAAGACATAAAAGATGGTCATAAAATGATGCAGATGCAACAATATGCGTGGAATCTTTCATAGCATACCACCAGTCAACACCATATGCTATACTCTGGTGCTCATTAAAAGAAACCACAGTTTCCATACTTTCAGTGTCTATTACATGAAAACCATTATACATACAAGCACACAACAATAATGCCTTCCCTTGAGGATGCCACTTAAGACGCCACACACCACCACCAAGAGAAGTGGAAGCTCTTGGAGATCGCATATTTCTTGTGTCCCATAAATTAACAGTTTCATCATAGCTTCCACTAGCCAAAAGGTGCTCAGAATGACAATTACTTTGAATGCTTGTTACTCCTGCATTATGCACTCTGCTAGTAAACACTGGTAGAGCCGATTCAGCTCTAATGTCAAACCTACGGAACTTACAATCATCACCTCCTGTAAACACTGTGTTAGGATCCCAATAGTCAAAGGCTGTTATCCAAGCTTCAAAATCATGGGCTAAAAATCTTTTTTGAAGAAGTAGTTCTCCATTAGTCAATTGTAAAATATTGATCTTTCCCTTTGAATCACTAACTGATATTAAAGGATTCTCACTGACAGTTTTTCCAGTAGACCAGTCTAGTGAGAGAGCAAGGGTTTCGTCTTCTTCTATTTCAAACTTGCATTGATACTCCAAACACAGTTTCTCTCCGGCTGTTATTAGTCTATAGAGAAGTAACTGACCAACAGCATTTGCAATGGCAAGCACTGGTGTTCCTGATATCTCATGCTGACACCACTTCATATCCAAGATAGCAGGCATATCAATTTGCTGAACTAAACATAGTTTTTCATCGATCTTCTGCTTTAGGTAGAGACGGCCTAGTCGTTTTTTAGGTATATCCTTTGCTTCTGCATTTAGACTGTCTGTTTCTGCTTCATCTCCCTCATTTGAGGTGTCTAAAGCTTTCTCAGGATCTGCAAGCTGATATGTACCCACTGCAAGGTAATCCTCATATGTACTAATGGGGCAGAACTCTGCTGAGTCAGCACTGTACTCAGTATCCCAGGAAAATAGGTGCTTCACCTCTAAGGCCATTCTCAACCTAAAAATAAATACAAAATAACGTTAAAATATTAAACAAATGTTTGAAAATATAAATAACTAAAATGTTCACATAGTAAGAGGTGCTGCAATTTAAAATCCCTGTTGTCAAAATCATGGCTTGCCCGTTACCACAGCTATGCCCCAACCCCCATGCTCATGGTTGTCATGGGGGGCAGGCTTAGGACCCCTTCTACTATCCACTCCCTAAAGTGCGAGAGCCGTGTTGAAAGGATGAAAGGCTGACTTTGTGCCAGTCATGAATGGCACATGGTATTCACCTGTTTAGTTATCTAGCCTTTCCCTGGATTCTCTCCCTCCTGAAATTTTTCCTGAAACAGATCTAATCGCCCTTAAACCCTCTTTCTCCTTTTGCTAATTCCTGCTTTCACCTATGAACATTCTTGCAGAATTCCACATTGTCCTTTGACAATTTTGAACTAATCACCTATGTTAATCCTTACCTTCTTGAACTGCTGTATGACTTCTGATGTGTAGCACATTCTATCATGAACTGGCCCCCCTTCACCCTTTTCACTATTATACCTTTCTACACTGCTATATGACCTTTCAGGTCTAGCACATTTATTTTGCTTTGTAACCATTAATCACAGCTCTGCACAATTGTCAAAAATTAGCAGGATGTTTCTGCATGTCCTTTTGCCATGAATGAGTTGTTCAAATTAATCTCATAAAAATATATGATAGCAAGCATATTATCAAAACCTGTCCCATCTATATTTTAAGATTTAAGGAAAAGATAAACAGTGCAATAATTTATTACAAACAGTTTTTCTTGGATTTAGAAATTCAAACAAAGAAACTGTTAGAACACATAACTGTTTATATTGAAATTTGAATAAAAAATGAATTTCCCTTTATCTACTTCAGACAGAGCTACCTAACTTGCTGCACCTATCCTGAATATTTTTTTAGTGACATATACTTAGCTTGAAGTGAGATAGACTTTGGCTCCATGATATACAGCTATGACCCCAATCTAGAGCCATCACACCAAACAAAGGACTTCAAACTGGGACCCTGCATCTCAAATATAGGGCCTTAA